TAATAATAATAATAATGTAGCAGGTGTTTTACGCTCCTATCGACACAATTTTGACATTTTAGTTAGGAAGCTGACTACCGACCCTGCCTGCCAGGGTCAACCCGGGCTGAGAGCAAGGACGGTCATTTTTTTACTATCGGTACACCACCACATTGCAAAGTTGGGTTGGGTTTTTTTTTGGGTTTTTTTTTTTGGGGGGGGGGTTATTGAGTAATGTTGCATGCTGAGCACGATTTCAGTACATGTACTTAGAACCACCGCATATCAATCGTTTTCTTCCCTTATTTTGTTCACTTTTCAAATAGCTATAAGAGAGGGGGGTGCAATCCCCCTGAACACCCCCTCCCCTGAACACCCACCCCCCTAATTTGTTCCTTTTCAAAAACCTTTGATTTGGGATGGTTTCTCAGTATTAAAATCATGCTCTGTTTTCAATGAGTGGCCAATCGGATCGACAAAAATAGGACAGAGGTACCTCAATTGGCCGATCGGTACGCGAAAGTTCAAAGTTCGGAAATATAATTCTACACCACTTCTTTTATAACTCTCTTAATATTCGTTTGCGAAAGAAATAAATATCATATTCGTCATCCGCGTGAAAAGGTCTGCACGAATAGGTATTGCACGATGGCTAACTCCCTTGTGTACCGATAGTAAAAAAAATACCGCTAGTCCTATGCATCTCAACAACAAGTCCGGGGTATTTTATAAACGTTATCTCCCCACTCAGGAATCGAAATCAGGCTTCCTGTGTGCGACTGCAAAGTGTCTAACCACAACACCACAGATGCGGTGTAAATACCTGAGACAATTTCTTTACTTCCGTGATTCACCTGTCAGTCACACACTGTCAGCTCTCTCCTGAGTTGCACACGCGTTCTTGTGCAGATCAACTGTTTTCAGTTCAAGAAGACCTTACATCTCTTCTGGCATGCTTTCTTTGTCCGTGACTTACAACAACAGTATAGATCTAGAAGTTTCCGATTCAGACGTGACAACAGTACAAGAAATAACCTAAGCCTACAAGACATAAAGTGAACACAAAGCGTTGATTGGAGGAGGTGTTCGACAGAAACATGTTTTTGTTCAATGTGGGTGCGCCGAAATTGTGATAAAATGGAAATACCCGTAGACAAAAGTGTTATTGAAGACTCAAAAGGGGGGGGGGGAAGAAAGAGAGAGTAAGAGAGAGAGAGAGAGAGAGAGAGAGAGAGAGAGAGAGAGAGAGAGAGAGAGAGAGAGAGGGGGGGGTACAATCATTCTCGCCTGTCAGCAGACAACGTAACCCAAATCTGATTTGAAAAATGTATTATCTGTGTATGTAGAAAGGCAGGTGACTTTGGTTTGTCAACACGCTCTAAAACTATGACTGTTTAAATGTTCTTGTTAAAAAGTTGAGTTGTGTTCAGAACTCTTTTTTGACTTGATAACGCACAGAAGATGCGGGTACAGACTTACTAGTTTATTAGAACCATAGCAACGGACGTTATTGAACAATATGCCCAATGGGCCTAACTTTACACATACCAGATTTCTCTAATGGGATAAGTTAGAGAGTTACGAGGGCTGTCCCACGGAAAACCGGAAAAGGTCCGTAAAAGCAAAAATCTTTGTCCTATTATAATAAAACTGTAACACACCATACCTCAACATGTGCGTTATTTCTCAATGTAATCACCATACCGCTGGACACATTTTTCCCATCGCTGGATCTGGGAGAAGATACCCTCCCTGAAGAATTTTTCGTCAAGGGATTTCAACCAATCGTTCACGACTTCCACGAGGTCTTCGTCGTCGGTGAATCGCTGTCCAGAAATATGGCGTTTCATTGGTTCAAAAAGGTGATAATCTGACAGGGCCAAGTCAGGACTGTGAGGGGGGTGTAGTAGAACTTCCTAGCCTAACCTTTGGAACCAGTCTTTCGTGACGTTTGCGGTGTGTGGCGTTGTGCTGCCATGCTGCAAAATGACCCCGCTGGTCTTTTTCGGCCCCAACCCATCAAGCAGAGACCTTTCAATAGTGCAGCTCATCAAACTGTATCCTATAGACAGTCGACTTTGAAATGTTTAGCGACTCGCAAATTTCGCGAATTTTTAGGCGCCTGTCTGTTTGATAAAGTTCGTTAACGCGACTCTTGTTGTCCTCAGTCTGGGCAGAAAAACAAGATCCTAGGTAAACTTTGTCATCGATATCGGAGTGCCCGGCTTTGAACTTACTACATCACTCATATACCTGTGACTTTGCCATTACTTTCTCCCCATAAACTGACTTTATTTCAGTGTGTATTTCTAGAGGTTTGAGTCCTTTTGCGGTCAGAAACCGAATAACAGACTTCACTTCTACCCTTGACCAATTTTCCAAGTTCTTTTGAGAACTGCTGTGCTCGTTTGGTTTGTGCGATTCTCATGGTGCTCAATCGGGAAATTTCTAAATGATTGTTTTACAAGTGTGCGTTTACAGAATGTGAAAATATTGAATAGTTTTCAAATTACAGCCAAATTCCGGTTTTCCGTGGGACAGCCCTCGTACTTATAGATTTAGAATGTTTGGTACTGAAATTGCACTACAGAGATCATGTACATCAACATAAACTTAGAACACCCATTAAATTCGGGGTGCGATGGAAAGGTGGGTATGACAACAACCAAACCAGCCCCAAACATTAGAATTAGATGAACTGGGGCAATCGCTAGAAGGAATCTGGCTTCAGATCCCACAGCAATTTATCCAACAACCTATCTGTTCCCTACGTCGACGGTGTCAGTCAATCACCAATGCCGCAGGTGACAACACGTGGAACTAATTTGGTGAATTTGGAAAATGAGGTGCTCAACTTGTGATGGATACTTTTATACCAGTATGGACACTTTAGTGAACATTGATTATTTGTCTTCGTGAATTCTTTGGTTTGTATGTCATCTACAAAATGAATTGCAATAGATTGTCTACGGAACATTGGTTTATAGGTGAAATATTTGATTTCTATGCTCACAATCGTATTTCCGTGTGTATATTATATGAACCATTGTGTAGCAAATTTCTCTTTGTGCCAATCAATAAAGTCTCATCTCATCTCATCTCCCCACCAGGAGGCGCTGGGGCCGTGCAGTGGCGACCCGTGCAACAGTCATGGCCGTTGTCTGGAGACCAGAGATGTGTCGGGTCACGTGACTGCGATGTGTTTGTGTGACGTAGGCTGGGGAGGAAGTGCCTGTGACATAGGAGGTATGTCAGTGTATATAATATGCGACATTGGAGGTATTGATAGCTGAGCACAAGTAGTGACTATATCCACTTTTGGTCGAAATGGAGTAATCGATATGGGAAGTGAGACGTTAATTCTCTCTTTGACCTCTGTGAATATCTAAGCTATAGCTTAATTCGGTATCGAGATAATGCGTTTCTTTTTTTTACTATGTTATAGAGTCTCATTTTTTCTCGAAACTGTGAAAAAACGGATAGTCACTTCTTGTTCCCAGCCGTCGGTTTGTCAGCCTGTATAATGACATAGAAGGAATGTAAAATTTTCTATTTAGGATAGCCACAGACATTATTGCACTTTGCAGGTCTGAGTGTTACCTTTATATTAGCAAATACATTGTAACCCATGCATAACAAACTACTGCCTGCGGGCCAGATCCAGTTTCAGTCTGTCCCACGAGTCGGCCCAGTAATCAATTAGAAATGAGGTTTGTGGGGAGTTGACAATTATTGTTCAAGCCTCTGGTCCAAACCAAAAAATACACCATGTTTTTGCCTGTGCTTTTGTCCAATCAAAGTCTGCCCCATGTTAGAGCCCTTGTTTTTGTCCTATCGAAACTTTTCCCATGTTTCAGCCCTTGTTTTCGTCCAATTAAAACTTGCCATATCCTTTAGCCGTTGTTTTTTGTCTAATCAAAACCTGTCCCATTTTTGGGCCTCTGTTTTCACCCAGTCAAAACTTGCCATATGTTTCGGACCTTGTTTTCGTCCAATCAAAACCTTTCAAATGTTTCTGTCCTTGTTTTCATCCAATCAAATCCTGGCCCATATTTCAGACGCTGGCCCCCAGTGGGGAGACTGGATGGACTGGAGTTCCTGCTCGGTCACCTGTGAGAAAGGTTGGAGGTCAAGACAACGCCGCTGCGAGGATTCAAACTCTGGAGCTTCACTCAGCTCCTCGCAATGCTTTGGGGCGGACAAGGAATATGGACTTTGTCAACTTCCTGATTGTCCTCGTAAGTAAACACCACAGGCGCCACATCGTGGCAGAGTCTGACAACTTTCATATTATAGCATTTATCAATAATACTATATTCTGACAAGACCTATGTAGCATTTATTAACAATGTATTCTGCCATCTGTTGTGGCTGCTGCTGCTTCTGCTTTTACTATTATCAATAGCTTAGCATTATTATCTTCATCATCATCCTCCTCCTCATCATCATCATCATCATCATCATCATCATCATCATCATCATCATCATCATCATTATTGTCAATATTACTGTTGTTATGACCCTTGCTATTCACTAGGTTGGAAGACCTGGGGCGAGTGGGGCGCGTGCAGCACTGAGACCACATGTGGGCGTGGCTTGAAGACAAGGAGGCGGAGCTGTGGGGGCGGGGGCACTGTGGGCGTGGACAGGTTCTGTCTGGGATTGGACAACGAGACGGCGCCCTGTGACAGCGTGGCTTGTGACGGTAAATTTTAATGTTTTCATTCAGCATTCCACCTCAACAAACCTTACCCCTTGACCATGCCCCCTTCCCCTTTGGTACATAGCGAAAAGACTTTCGCGTCTGCCTGGTTCCCTGTGTATGTGCTAAACTGTATATAAACAATCAAATCTACGCTAACGGCCACATGTTTGAGAATTCACCAGTACATACAGCCACTTCCTACTACTTCACTCGTGTCTTTGGGTGTGTTTTTTTTTTACATTATTAATAACACTGTGTATTACGCCCACCTGTGTAAGACAACTGCTTTTCTCCTTGACATTGGGTAGCTGTCTTAGACTATCTCAAACGTAGACACATAGTTGTGTGTATGTATTTTTTTATATTTTTTTTGTGTTAGATATAAGCCATAAATAACAAAAAGACAAACAATGAGGTGTGTCAGGTTCTACACACAAGACAAACCCTGCTGAATAAAATAAAATGTAGAAAAATACAATACTTTGTTAAAACGACACGCGACCATTGTGAAAGAGGTGCTTTTAGGAGAGATGTAGGGCAGGAGAATCAGGGGAAGACAAAGAATAACGCGGAATGATAACGACATAAGAACGTGGACTGGCCTAGATGTGGCAGAATGTGTAAAGGCAGCCGGCGACCGAGATGGATGGAGGGTCAACCTCTGAGTCAGAGATGACACCTCCAGGTATCCAGGTATAACCCATAAATGTGTGGCATTTTGGTGGAATTAGGCGCACGTCAAAATAGTGAAAACGAAGATATTGGCATTGTTTCTCCAGTTTGACAATTAAAAAGACATTTCCATCTAAATTTGACAGAAAAAGGGTGATTAAAGGCACCAAATATGTAACTTTTCAGTTTTAAAGGACGCTCAAGCTATAGAAAATACCGAACTTTGGCAGCCATTCTCTCGCGAAATGTATCACTGAAACCAGGAGACCCCACCTCCTTCAATCGCAAATATCTTGACTTCTATTCAAGATAGATTGGGGGGTGGGGGAATAATTGAAAGCAAGGCAAATTAATAAGCTTTTAGACCATTAACTTCACTTACCCAAAAATTGACGAGCGCCTGATTCCACCGCGTCGTGACACGAATGTTCTGTCTGTCCCAGGTCCCATCCGACTGTCTGGCGGGGAGGCGGCCGGGGAAGGCGTTGTGGAGTTGTATGACAACATCCGGGACACTTGGAGACTCGTCTGTGTGAGTCAGGCCACGCCCCACATTGCTGACGTCATCTGTCGGCAGGCAGGGTGGCCCGGGGGCTTTGAAGGTGAGATCACAGTAGCAACAGCAACAGTAACAGTAGTTTCATCGTACTGGTTGTCATTGTTGTCATTGTATTTCTTGCTGTTGTTGGTTGTGGTGGTGGTGGGGGTGGTGGTGTTGTCGTCGTCGTCATCTTCATTATCTTTGTAGTCATCATCATCATCATCATCATCATCATCATCATCATCATCATCATCATCATCACCATCATCGTCGTCATCGTCGTCATCATCATCATTATCATCATCATCATTCTTGTCAATTTTGGAACATTAATTTTCAGGAAAGTAAAAAAAACGCATTTCTTCTCTTATTTTGTATTGGAATTACTAACAAAAATGTCGTGAAGAATTTTCTTTTAACATTTGTCCGTAGTTGGAATCAGAGACCGACGATATGTTTTACTCATACCTTGCCAGAACAACATAGGGGGAACTGCTGTTTTTTTCTTTCCTCATCCTTACTATCGTCACGTTTCCTCTACTTCTTTTGTATGTTTGTCACTCTCTTGTGAATTGCTATTCCGGGGTGCCTTGATAGTCGAAGCAGACTTTGTGCTGTTGAGTCAAGAGAGATTAACAGAGTAAGGCTAATTCCCCGTTTGGAGTTCTCTGTTGGCATCCACCCCTTGGCGCTCATATGACCTTACGCAGTTGCGAGCGCCGTGAAACTTTAGTAAAACAAACTGTCTTGCCCCCAGTGATCGGAGACGGCCGGTTTGGGTCAGGAGGCGGTGACTTCGGGCTGACCAGCGTGACGTGTGCCGGCGACGAGCCGCGAGTCCTGCAGTGTCAGCACAACGTCTGGGAAAGTGGAAGCGGGCTGTGCGGGGACGGGAATGTTGTGCCTCTCGGTGTGCAGTGTAATGGTAAGGCCCAGGCGCACATGCATTTTGTTTGTTGTCTGTCTGTGTTTGTTTCTTTCTGATAGTCTGTCTGTCAATCAGTCAGTCAGTCAGTCTGTCTGTCTGTCTGTCTGTCTGTCTGTCTGTCTGTCTGTCTGTCTGTCTATCTGTCAGTCAGTCAGTCTGTCAGTCAGTCTGTCTGTCTATCTGTCGGTCTATTGAAGTCATTTGAGAAGGAAAAAAGTGGATGAAATTTCCTCTTAGCATTACAAAGCCTATCAATCTATCTATCTATCTATCCATGAATCATCCATCCATCCATTCACTCACCCACCCATCCATTCATCCAGCCTCCACCCATCCATCCATCCATCCATCCATCCATCCATCATCCATCCATCCATCCATCCATCCATCCATCCATCCATCCATCCATCCATCCATCCATCCATCCTTCCATCCATCCATCCATCCATAATAATAATAATAATTGCATTTCTATAGCGCATATCCATGCTCAAGAGCATGCTCTATGCGCTTTACAACTTTTATTACCCCAGCAGACCCCTTGAGAACACTCAGAAACATTCTCAGCTTCCGAGGAAGCATACAGTGCAAGCTGCGGATTTCACGCGCTCAAACACTATCAAACTGACAAGATCTTTCACTGTCTATAGCCGGGTACCCATTTCCACCTGGGTG